TGTGTGTGTGTGTGAGAGAGTGTGTGTGTGTAAAACCTGAAATTTTTGACATTATAGGGAGCGGCCTGTGGTCCCCACGAGGGAAAAAGGTTATTAAAAATAGTAAATGATGTTTATCTGAAAGTGTGACAATGCAAACAGGTTTTCTGTAAGGAGTAGGTTTAGGGTTAGGGGATAGAAAATATCGTTTGGTCAGTATAGCGGTGTGATAGTAGAGATGTTCAGGCCTTTTTTGTGTAAAATTAATTAAAAGGGATCTTTTAGATATGTTCTCTTTTAACCTTTTCGTTAAGAGAACATACTGACGTATTGTTTTCCCTTCAATGTAGTTCTTAAAGTTTATTTGCTTGGCCTTAAAAAGGTCTTAAAGCTGCAGAAAAACTGGAGAGAGACTAGTTAGATTTTATCCCTCAGTCTTGAGTTAATGTGTTGAATATGAATCTGTTTATTGTGCTCTTTTTATTGTGACATAAAAGGTGTTTCTGATCTTCAGAGTCGTGTGCGAGGCGTTCCTCTGATATTTCTACACACTCGAGATAAAGACACGCCTGGACTTGACATGAACGCTTCTGGAGAAAAACAGGAGAATGCACTCTGAGCGTGTGAATGTGAGGATGTGATTACAGTCGATCCGAGCAGGGCTTTCTGAATAAGACCCAATTAAACACAGCTTTGGATCAGAGTAACAGAAGACTGAAGGAGTGTGTGTTTCTGATCTGATCTGAGTGTGAGTTTTCATAATGAACTCATTAATCTGATAAGTAGAGTGTGTGTTTGCGCTGAAACTGACCGTACAGGTTTGCGCTGTGATGTGATCAAAGTCCTTATTGGCTCTGACACAGAACAGGGTGTGACACCGAGTGAGACTTTCACACACACACACACACTCTCTCTCACACACACTCTCTCACGCACACACACACACTCTCTCTCTCTCACACACACACACTCTCTCACACACACTCTCTCTCACACACACACTCTCTCTCTTTCTCTCACACACACACTCTCTCTCTCTCACGCACACACACTCTCTCACACACACACAGGTGAGTCCGAGCGCTCTGCTTTATGTCAGTCTATTTCAGATTTCAGACTTTTATATGTGAAAGTATTTGCTTGTTGCCTAACTTTAATATCCAGAATGTTTATATATCTTGTGTTTATCATTAACTCATCTCACAGTCAGATTTAGCACATATATGTGAACCTGGAGCACAAAAGCAGTCTTAAGTCGCTGGGGTATATTTGCAGCAATAGCCAACAATACATTTTATGGGTCAAAATTATAGATTTCTCTTTTATGAAAAAAATGTTCCATGAAGATATTTTGTAAATTTCCTACTGTAAATATATCAAAACTTAATTTTTGATTAGTCATATGCATTGCTGAGAACTTCATTTGGATTTTCTCAATATTTAGATTTTTTTGCACCCTCAGATTCCAGATTTTCAAATAGTTGTATCTCAGCCAAATATTGTTCTATCCTAACAAACCATACATCAGTGGAGAGATTATTTATTCAGCTTTCAGATGATGCATAAATCTCAATTTCACAAAATTGACCCTTATGACTGGTTTTGTGCTCCAGGGTCACATATACAGTATATAATGTGTGTTAGACTGTGAGAAGAAGGATCGGTGGTAACGAGAAGCTGCTAATCAGCAGGGTGTGTAGTAATTGTGTCTGAAGGGGTGTTTGCTGGTTGATCAGGACGGGTAACTTCACGTCACACCCTGAGAAGCAGGGAAAAGGGGCTGGAGACTCGAGAACAAAACACACTGTTGACACCTGCCACAAATATGCATGACAACACGCCTGCAGCACACTTTACATCGACACGCAAACACCTGCACATTGTGTGTGTGTCAGTCAAATGAGAGGATTTACTGTCCTTCATCTTCATAACCACAGACGCTTGATTTCAGAACACTGCCGTCTGGATTCACATCTATAACTCAACATGAGCACACAGACCAAATCCGGTAAGATCTGCACTTTATGATCTTATATTTACATATACACAGATGAAACCTGTCAGAAACATGCATATATATATTAAAATGAATATTGTGCATTATAACATTATTTCCATAGTTCCTCCTGAAATATTACAGTAATGTGAAAAAAGATATAGTACATGGTAAACACGTTTTTTTTATTGCCTTTAATTTATGCTGATTTTGATAACAAAAAACTGCATTGTAGTAATTAGGATTACCATTGAGAATAATGGAAATTACAACTAAATGTGGGGAAATGTGTTGAAAGAAAAATGTAACAGTGCATAAGCGACTGATGTTCCTATTGAATTGTTTTACCATGTTTTATATTAATATTATTTTAAAGATTTTTGATATCTTTAGATATTTGTTGAATATATATTCTCTTTGTATGTTATTTATTCTTCTCTTTTTATTGTGCTGCTGTGCCAAGTAGGCTAAAGTTCCTCTTTTGGGGAATCAGTAAAGGAACAATACTAATCCTAAAATAGGCATCAGTTCATTTCATAAATAATATATATGAAGTAATTTATATTCTGCATATGTTGTGATGAGAT